GATGTAAAAATCTGCAGATATCTTACAGCTATCGGTCGAAAGTCTAAAAAATCGTGACAGAACTGTGATTTTTAATTGTTTACAGCTCATATCGAGGTCAGCCGATCTCAATCAAATTTTCAGCGTGCACATAAGTTATCGAGATCTACAAAATGAATTTTTAAAATTTTTGTTACAAGCTCAGGTAAAAAAAGTGAAAAACTTAGTGTTCTGTATTTTTATTTGTCATTCCAAATAATAGCAAAATTACAAAAAAGTATTTTAATCATTGTACAGTAAATTAGTCCCTCTAACATGTTAAAAAGATTCAAATTATTTACACCAGTTTTACAGAAGTTATACCGTTTTAAAAAGTGTACAAATACCATAGTCCGTCACTCTTTTTGTTCAAAATATGAATTTAAATGTTTGGCACCACTTTTTTGGTCCAAATACTGTGAAATTAATTTTTCCTTCATCGTTATTTTGCAATTCGATGTATTTGTCCAAAATATTAGTTGAAATGTTTAGTGGCACTCGATGTATGTTAATTTTCTATTTCAAATACCGTAAAATTAATTTTTCCTTGACTGTTATGTTGTAATTCGATGCATTTGTTCAAAATATATGATTATGAGCGAGACACAGTTGGTCGAATTAAAGCGTAGCACAGAAGTGGATATAAACTGCAGGATATTTTGCGCGTCTATTTCCGAGTGAATAACTGAAATTTTGAATATCATATCGGATGTTTCGCCTCTGATCGTTGCAGCATAATTTGCACACGAACAAAAGGTTTTATGAAAGGCTACAAACGCTTTATTACGAAGCTGCAAGCATACATTGCAGTAAGGTGTGCGTGTACGTAACAATGGACTTTAAAGAGAGAGAGAGAGAGAGAGAGAGAGAGAGAGAGAGAGAGAGAGAGAGAAGCCGTCTGTGTTTAGTTTATCTAGAAGTATCAAATTTTTTCAGATTTATTTCTTAATTGTTCTTTCGCAGTATATTTTGAAAGAAAACACGATATCATTGTTTACAATCGTGTCTACGAATAATATAAACTTTTTAGTTGAATTTAAATATTTAAGAAAGAACAATATTTAATAAAACCCTCGTGTGACATTTTACCATACCAACTTAATAATATGATCAGAATTTAGGACATGCTTTGAGCAGAAATGTATACAATGACAGTGTATTTTCAAAGTGCCATTTCCTAAAATATTTACGCAAATTAACAAATTTCGAAAGAATACAAATGAAGAAAACACATTCTCAGTTGTATTCAGAAAAAAATGTTCTTTAGACACTGTCATCACTTTTATTTATATGTTTAAAACCTCTACTTTATTTATATGTTTAGCCCCTAATTGATCAGAAATCGGGACAGTGGCGGTAGTAAGAAATCTGACATTTCACATGAAATACAACCTACGTTTCCTAATTCGCTGAACCACACCGAATGCCATATTCACTGCACAAACTAATTGAATCCAGCAAAACCAATCTAATTTATCGATTCAAATAAAAATAACTCACGAACAACGTTCGCTGTACTCTGAAAAGTATTCAGATCTTGTTCACAACATATCCAAAACTTAATCACCTGGCTCGGAATTGCCGTAGGAACATACATAGCACGTACAGCGGTCGGAGAAGCGTTTAATCGTATCTAAGCGATTAACGCGAATTAATGAGACTTATCAGATACGGCGGCGCCGCGCCGCACCGAGCCTTGTTTTTTCGGTTCCTGGCCGAAGCAACAGCTAGTAGGGGCGGTTTATGGTGTGTTGTTGTCGGGACTGGGGGTAGTAGAAAGCAAGCGACAGAGAAGCGGATCGGCGAGAGAGGGAACAAGATTGGGGTTGCTGGAAGGGGGTTAAAAGAGGCGGGAGAGAAAGAGAGAGACCGAGCGAGAACGAGAGAGAGAGAGAGAGAGAGAGAGAGAGAGAGAGAGAAAGAGAGAAAGGGACAAAGTAACAGCGGCTGCGGTCCCGAGACGGAGTGAGAGAGGAAGTCGGAGAGACGCGAGTGGGAGGCGGATTGGTCGCCGAGGTGCGAGAAGGACCGAGGATGTCTGTCGTGGCAGAGTAGCGGCGGTGGTAGCATATACGGCGTTTTAACTCGCGGGGAAAACTCTGCGAGCACGAGCCCGCGATCCTCAGTCGCGTGTGACACGCGGCCTCCGTCGGTGCGGCCGGTCGCGGAGATTGACACCCTCGATCCATCGATCTACGGAGTAGACTGCACGAACTCCTGGAGCCCTCGGTGCTTCGAACCTCGTCGATCTCTGATTGATTCCACCAGTGAAGATTCGTTTGAGAGTGACGTAGCTTCGACACCGCTGTATCAGATATTCTGATATCTGTTCAAAGTGGATAAACGGGGGAATAGATCGGTGTGCGTCGGTTTCAACGAGACGTGACAGTGTTCCGAGGATGTCCTCGCTGTTGATCGCCGTTCGGTCCGGCGCGAACGATCGACGAGCGGATCCAGCTGGTGGCTCCAGAGAATTATAAATTCCCGTGGAATTATAGATCCCGCGACGGGGCGGCCTGTATTTCACCGGCGTGTACGCTCGCTCGCGTACGTATCGCTCGGGAAACGATCGCACGGCTCATAGGATTTATACGACGCGCGGCGATGGTCCGCGCGGATCTTGACGGGCGCGAACCGCGCGGATTCGAGGCATTCTCGAGCGTGTAAGACTGGTGGTCGAGATACCCTCGCGAATCAAATGGAAAGCTGCGTTTCGGAGAAGCTGCGAAAGAAATGTTGGAGCATAATTTTTATGTAGTTTGAGAAATTATGGTGGTCTGTGAGACGGAGAAGGGGTTTATCTAGGAAGCTGCGGATGCTTACGAGGGCACAGGTTTATTGAAATTAGTGTATCGAAATTGGAGGAATTTAATCGTTGCGTCGATAGCCTGGTATACCTATGCTTTTAGTTTATACAGTTTTGCACGATGCTGGAATATTAAAAATAGCGATTTGCGATACCGTTTTCTGAATAACTTTACGTCGATTTATGTGTTTTGAATGGAGAAGTGTCTACTAAAAACTTGATTTGCGGTGAACTTATTGGAGATCGAAGGTACTAATTGGCACAGCGGTTAACCCTCGTTGACTTAAAATTTTCGTAATTCGATGCGTGTATTGGTGTCACATTAATAAAATTATGAAATATCAATTTAATAGAAAGATAAATAGTTAAACTTGCAAACATTTATACGTTCATGACACCTAAACAAAAATGATAGATACAATTATCTTCTCGTATTTATTGCATAACGCTTGGTATAAGAGAACAATGTTAAATTACAAGAAAAATTAGTAAGGCATCAGGGGGAATTTTTCTTCTTTGAAAGAAAAAAAAAAAATATATATATATATATATATATATTTTTTTTTTTAATAAATTATGCTATTTTTTTATNGTTTTATGTCTGGAACACCTCCAAAATTTTGTCAAAACTGATGAGATAATCTCACTTTAAAAATTTTGCTTTCTATAATTATTGATGTTTATTTGTTCAATTGTTTAAGTTATTGTTATTATAAGTTTATTTATTTTAGCATGGTTGCATTAACTGTAAGGTCACGTTGATTACGATTAACTAAACATAAAGACCTACATTGTAGATTATACTTAAAATTTATATTGGTACGAGTAACTTGGGTAATGGAGTCGGTTGCTGTGGGGTGACCAATTGCTGTGTCTAATTAACTTTAACTTTATATTTATCGAATAAGACATGTTAGATTTTTTTAAATTAAAAACTAAAGAAAATAGAAAAATAAAGAAATGCATATCTTATTTGATAGAGATAAGATAAAATAAATAAAAGGCATAACAATTAGTCATTCTACAATAACTGTCTCCAGAAATCATAACGAGTCATACAAATTTCTGGATTTAAAGAAGAGGAGGAGGTTCTCCATGTTATCATCGCGTTTAGGTTTGACTTGAGATCTCTCTTAATGGAGAATCTGGTTTGTGAATGTATAATAACACTTCATCCGACGGCAGCTTTCCAATATTCCTTTCAAAATCAAAGATCTGCAGTTAAAAATATTTTTAAAAATTGTTCAATGGCAACAACAATTTAATTCACGTAGATCAACATAATGTAACTTCTTTCAAAATTATTATTTAAAAGAAAATTATCGAGCTGTTCCTAAGAGTAGCCTAAACTGTATCTAAACAGCTAAGTAATGGTGCTAAATTCCATTTTTAGGAGATGAAATCATCCACCAAAATCTTTGAATTTTTTGTTCTTTTTTCTGCGTAACTTCGTAATGCTAAGAGATAGGACAACGCTTTTCAGGAATAAATTATGCTATTTTTATGCTCTGTAGGCTTATTGCAATAAGCCTACAGAGCATAAAAATAGCATAATTTATTCCTGAAAAGCGTTGTCCTATCTCTTAGCATTACGAAGTTACGCAGAAAAAAGAACAAAAAATTCAAAGATTTTGGTGGATGATTTCATCTCCTAAAAATGGAATTTAGCACCATTACTTAGCTGTTTAGATACAGTTTAGGCTACTCTTAGGAACAGCTCGATAATTTTCTTTTAAATAATAATTTTGAAAGAAGTTACATTATGTTGATCTACGTGAATTAAATTGTTGTTGCCATTGAACAATTTTTAAAAATATTTTTAACTGCAGATCTTTGATTTTGAAAGGAATATTGGAAAGCTGCCGTCGGATGAAGTGTTATTATACATTCACAAACCAGATTCTCCATTAAGAGAGATCTCAAGTCAAACCTAAACGCGATGATAACATGGAGAACCTCCTCCTCTTCTTTAAATCCAGAAATTTGTATGACTCGTTATGATTTCTGGAGACAGTTATTGTAGAATGACTAATTGTTATGCCTTTTATTTATTTTATCTTATCTCTATCAAATAAGATATGCATTTCTTTATTTTTCTATTTTCTTTAGTTTTTAATTTAAAAAAATCTAACATGTCTTATTCGATAAATATAAAGTTAAAGTTAATTAGACACAGCAATTGGTCACCCCACAGCAACCGACTCCATTACCCAAGTTACTCGTACCAATATAAATTTTAAGTATAATCTACAATGTAGGTCTTTATGTTTAGTTAATCGTAATCAACGTGACCTTACAGTTAATGCAACCATGCTAAAATAAATAAACTTATAATAACAATAACTTAAACAATTGAACAAATAAACATCAATAATTATAGAAAGCAAAATTTTTAAAGTGAGATTATCTCATCAGTTTTGACAAAATTTTGGAGGTGTTCCAGACATAAAACATTACCTAGTGAAATAATCGTAATTGTGGCTCTTTAGCTTCTTTAGTCAACTCTATTGAACGTACTAGTTTCTCTCTAGTCGTAGACGTCAGTTTGTAAATTGTATTTCAAGGAAAACTCGTTTAGAAACTATGAAGTAAGCAGTTATAATTATGCCGCACAACCATTGCTAACTAGTTTACTGGTTAAAATAAGACAACACTAAAGAGAAGGAAGTAATCTGCAGAAACAAATTATTTGTTCTTTCGATCTCGTTTATTTCTTCGAACTATTTGATAATGACTTTCTGTGATATACAAGTAGTAAAACTGGTTGAAAGAGAAATTTTCAAGCGTTCTGATAAAATATAAATATAATAAAATAAAACAAAACAAAAATTCTTTAATACTCCATTTTGATAACCTTTAATTTTCTCATAAAAATTTTCTAACCGCTTTTATAGATTTAGAAAAAATTACATTTATTAATGTATTAACACGTTCCCTACCTATGCCACACATTTCTGACGACTACGACCCCGCGTTTCGCACAGAAAGGATTGAATTAATTCAATGAACGTTGTTATTCGAAATTATGATTCATATCATTATATTCGAAGATCTTTCAAGTATGCTGTAACAATATTTTTATTTATATTTCATGAAACTGTTGTATATATATATATTAAAATGATAGATCGATGAAGGCTATATTGCTAAAACGTGTCTACATGGTAACTATAATTCCACTTTCCAACAAATTCTACTCAAATTTTATTTCTGCATATGCCCCTAAAAATCATGATTAAACTACGGATTTTATGTACATATTTATGATTGAATTGAATAGATGAGAATCAAAAGAATTTAAGAAAATCTGTACATTATTTTCAACTTGCTAAAATTATAAAAAAATAGAAAACATTATTATCTTGCTGTAATTGACCAGAAAAATGTTTATTTTGCACATTGATCTGCAATCTAATGATCAAGCGTCCGATTAACCCCTAACTAATAAAATGATACGCAATGTACTCTACTTTTTCTCCTAAATCACAACATTCTTAAACTGTCTTCGGGAACGTGGAACCTAACGCGGCAGGTATAATGAAACAAGTAAAGCCAGTAAAACTCTGCCTGTAGTAGATGTAGCCGCATTATCATCCTATCAAGAAGTTCCGCGAACTCTCGGCTCGGGTTAAAAGTTAAACATGTTATTGTATCGAGTTGCAGGCGCTAAACGCGCGAAATCTGAAGTCTAGCGATAAATCGTGTTATAGGCGTAACGGAATTAGACGGCCGATAGATTGCGTGCGAGTATAGCAACGAAAGGGCTAATGAAACAGAGGTCGAACGAAAGGAGCAATCCGGGAGGCGAGACGATCGAAGATCCAGGAGGATCGGCCGATGACCTCCGCCGGAGTGAATGTTTAATCGCACGGGTGTTGCGTTCGCTCGAGTGAATCGGTTCGAAATCGCGTTGCCGGCCGCACGAAGAAATTGCAGTCGAACAGAGAAAGTTTCCTGGAAAACGGTAGGAGAGATAGTCGTGTCGCGCGGGATAGACGAGGCGGGACCAAAAATCTTCCACTTCCTTCTTCTCGGGGCAATCGCGGACGAACGAGCGTGACCGCGCGCCGGAACTTCCGTTTCTGATGCGACCAATGCTTTTCCTCGCCATACAGGCGTCCCACACTGGAATGGAAACACATTTTTCATGGACAGAATTGAATTTTTGAAGTTTCAATCTTTAAAATCTTCGTTTCGAAAGATTTAACGTTTCAAAGTTTTAATGTTTGAAGTCTCGATGTTTAAAGTTTTAATATCTAAAGTTTTAATTTTTGAAGTTTTAACCTTTAAAATTTCAATTTTTAAAGTTTACCATTTGAAGTTTTCATTAATGAAGTTTTAACATTGAAAGTATATTAATTTGTCAAGTTTTAACATTCAAAGTTTCCTTTCCTGAAGTTTAAGGAAGAAAAAATTGTTGTATAGACCATCTGACAACTTGACTGCAAATTTTATGCATTTATGGAAAAATTGGATAGTTACAATTTGAGATAGTGTAATAATTAAAAGCATCTTAAAATGTCAATGCATTATTTTTAATCTATTAAGGTCGTTAAATAAAGAATAAAGTTTTAATTTGTTTCATGTTCTTTGCAATTAATGCATTTTATGTAATTTTGATACTACTGATACTACTGATAAGCATTTCGCTTCTTAGAAATCCAAAATATTAGCCATTTTAGATCATTAAAAGTGGGGGGCGTTGCTCTGAAAACAGAATTCAGGAATTCAAAGCGAAACCAACTATTCTAAAATCTCATTATAGAATACTAATTAACAAATTTGAATTAATGTTTTACACACAGAGTGCGTCCGAAAAACATATTCAAGCGGACGGAAAGTAATTCCTTATGAAAAAATAAGATAAATTTGGGGAATAAAATTTTGTCATTAATTATCTTTATTTTCAAGATAATGAAGTTTGAAAATTGGTCATCGTTGTGACAAATGACTGAAAACTGAGAGTTCACGACGAACCGACGAATAAACTAGCATATAAAACTTTGCAGAACATTGTTAACAAACACGATATATGCTATTCCTCGTTTGTTGAATAACTTTAGCGCCGTAAGGGCGTGAAACACGAAGCGAATATTTAGTTTTGATTATCATGAAAACAGAGCCGAAAATAAACAAATATTATTCCTTATATCTTTCTTAGTTTTTCACAAGGAATCATCCAGTCGCTTGTGCATGTTATTCGGATGTAGAAAAGTGCGCTGGCATTAAATAAAGAATTTACGGACGTAAAATGAATCTTAGAAAATATCATTTTTTTATAAAAGTGTAGTCGTCGTTCTACGTTTGTAAAACGATACCAGTTTTGAATTAATCAAAAGTAAAATTAGTATTTACTTGGGGCAGTACTAAAATTTCCTGAATTCGAAAATCTTTTACAAAAAAATGTTGCTCTAGAAGGAGTGTTGATGTTCATATGAGTCATATAAATTTTGCTACGATGATTTAATATTAATAAATCATATTTAATTTAATACTTTATTTGATCTTTTTATTATTTTGTGTTAAAGCTTGAAAGTGGTTTACATAAAATAATGGTAACAATTTTGTATGTCTGCTTCCAACAGTTCATATGTAGACATTAACTCATCAACTGCCAAATTTTCTTTTTTGAATTTTTCACGGGAAAAATTATGTATATGCACAAAAAGTTATGTAACAATATAATTATATTCAAATTATGTATTGTTGTTAAAATATCTCATATTTTTTAAAAAGTCCCAAATATCGATTGTGGAAAATTCCTTTTTATTGTATGAAAAGCAAAAGACTGAGTAAGTAACACATAGTTGCTATAAAAGCTCTAAATTACATATTTATGTGTGGATGGTATTTAATTATAATATAAAAATCAAACCAAAAATATCGTACTTCAAATATGATAATTTTGTTGTGTTCAACACCAAATTTGTTCACTTGTTGAAAAGGAACTAAACACAAAATATACACCGTTTGCTATAAACAATATTGACTGATATGTATAAAATGACATTAGATTGTCAAACGCACCTGATATATTCATCACGCCAAATGGTGTACATAAAATTCCAAAATTCCAAAATGGAGATCGTGACAGTTAATGGGTTAATGGTCACAAATAGCTCTACTGGGCTTACATTTCCTCATTGGAATATCTTTATAGAACAACTATGCAACGAAACAAGTTGGACACCTTATCTCTACAATGCTTAGGAGCAGCTGCATTACGAGAGATTAGCTTTGATGATGCAATCACAGAGTTCGCAATTAAGAAAAGTCGGAGAAAGCTTACCCAACATAAATAAAGTGGAACCGCATAACAAATAAGTGGTTGTCATTGCGAAAAATAAAGAATCAAATATTATAATTTTAATTTCGTTCTTTTCTAGTAATACACCCTTATAAATAATAATTATAGGTCAATTAATAGAGTAAACTTGTTGAAAACGTAAAAAGGAACATTTCGTCCTATCAGGAGAAAAATAACTTCTTAAATGTTCTTTTTAAATGAAAACGAATATTGGCTAATTAATAGGAAAAATGCTACGCAATGACTTTTCCATTGTTTTAAACGAATGACTTTTAACAGGGGATAGACAGAGAGAAGAAGTGTATAATTTTGTGTTTGTCGATATTGGAAATGTTTAATTGTTGGAGAGCAACACTAGAGAACTGTTTTGAAGCGTGAAGAGTGATTTTGAAACGTTGTGAAATTGTAAAACTCGAGTTGATTGCACTCGGAGTGGCAAAAAATCGAGCGTTTCGTCGAGGATGTCGCGATCGATGTCGGATCGATAGTGTCACGTGAAAATATAAAAAATCCTCTACTTTTCTGGTTCTATCATCTTCGTTGAAGATCGAGCAAGATGCGGGACAAACTTGCGTTTAGTGTAAGTTTCTTTGCAACGTTCGATTTGGTATTTATTTTAAAAAATATTTAGCCCGTGAATACGGTTCTATGGAAATACAAAACTATACAGTAGGGGAGAACTACCATGAATGGGACACTTTTGTTTAGGACAAGATAACAAAAGAGCTAAACGACCTATCTAATTCTAATTTAAAACAGTCGATAGATCAGTACTTTTACCATAGGAATGCACTGTGTCACACCGTGTTTCAACTACGTTTACTTGTTTTATCTATATATATTTTTTAAAAGTGAGGCATGCATGTTCACGAATAGGACAGTGTAAAAAATAAAGTAATCTTGGTACTAATCTTATAAGTATACGTTATATTATATTATATAATGAGATCTTAAATTACATAGATTTTTTTCTTTGCATCTTTGGTTAATATATTTTAGTATTTTATGACAAGAAATAATCCTTGCAATAAAAAGTAACTGAATAGAAATATCTTAAAAATTATCATAGCAAATATTCTAAAAATGAATGACAGAATAAGCAGGAAAAGGTTTAGAGCACCTCTTATACTCGATATTTCATTTATCCATTTACTATAGATCTTGCACCGATTCTCCATTGTTTTGTAAATATGATTCTTTTTTACAAACTTGACATTCGTCACCTTCTTTTGCTCCTCTTTTTGCATTACATTTACGTTTGACAATAGTTTTCCCCCCTATTTGATCCAGATTCTTTAATATTTAACGAATCTGTGCTACTATTCTTAGAGAGAGATCCTTTTTTATTTTTTTTTTAGTTCCTTCATCAAAGTTTGTTTTTTATTTTCCTGTTTCTTAACCAAATTATCTTCAAAAACATTTCTAATATGTTTTAAATTTTCTGAATTGTTCATTGCACTAGATTTTCTCTATGTCCCATTTATTTTAGACTATTCGATGCTATATGTCAACATTCTCGAAAAAATACCTAATCGAAAGCAATAAATAAAAATTCAGTAAAAAGTAACAGTACTTCATGCAACGTTACGAGAGAAAAGAAAAATATTACTTTTAAGCGTAAAAAAATTAATTGTCTGTCATAATTACGTATTAAGTGGTAACGGCTTCACATTGATGAAATTAAATTAAATGCATAATATAGTCACAGAAAAAGTATAATTTTATTATAAAAATATTCATAACTTTTGAGATAATGGTAATATTCCATTCGATTTGTGTCCCATTCATGGTAGTTACCCCGTATATATCATAAAATTATATAAATATGTTAAGAATATCCGGTTCGACATTTGTGAATTAAACTAGCCATCGTGTACTACAAAATTAATTTATTCACTAACTCATAATAATTTATTATTCAATTTAAAATTTATAATGCCCTAGAGTCTTCAATTTATCAAGTCATCTAAGCAATTGAAGTATTCAATTTAACGTAAATTATGCTTCATCCTAATATCACAGTACATATTCATCTTTAATTACTAGACTGTCGATTTTTATGCTTTTAGATGCAAGAAAATAAATTAATTAACAAAGTCTAATAGCATTCTTATGTTCTTCTTACAATTACTATTTGGCGAAGGAGACTTGTTCTTGGTTCGAATTTTTGCAAAAAGTCGTATGAAAATCAGAATTTTCATAAAAATCCACGGTCTATTAATTTTAGTGTTCTCGTGGAAATGTATAAATTAATATGTTATATATATATATTCGAGCGAACACAATTATAGATAAAATGTGTTTGTTACCGAAGTATGAACTTGGACTTAATTTCACAAAATATTAGTAGCTATTTGAACATTATAAAGTCGAAGACGAACAAGGAATATTATCGTTGAAGGGTTTAGTTGAGTTAGTTATGGGAGTATCATCTGAATGATGTGATTTACAGTCGGGAGTGCCGGACATGCACGAGACCCTGTCCAGTTTTCCGGAACAGTTCGGAGATGGGCCGAGGAAACCGGAAATAAAGCTGGAAGCGCCGAAGGAGTCGGACGGGACGACGGATAACCTGAAATGCGGCTGGTTCTGGTTCAGGCCCACGTACTTGCAACGATTTCGAACCGCAAAATGGGCACTCTTCTGGCTCTGTTGGACAGGCGCTATTCAAGGTGCGTGATTCGCTTAAGTCTGATCAAATTTTTAAATTAGAGGAAGATGAAAGCATCTTAAATGATCGTTCATTTTATTTCTTCTCAACGACGCGTTATATCAAGATCTACATAGCGTGAATTTATTGGTCGTCACGAGCAGAAGCGACGCGAGGCACACGAATCTTTAATCCAGGGCTCGGAATTAACCAGTTTGCAACATTCAGATCGCGAGAGCTACGCCTCCCGACTCCCGTCGGGCGTCTCGCTCCCTGTGGTCGCCTCTTTTGGCTTGGAGAGCACCTCAGGTGTTCGTGTGAAAGATTGCCCAATGGTGTCAAACCTTTATTGTCAATGTTGTCACGTATTGTAAAAAGGTTTCAAGAAACGTGAAGTGTGGCAAAAAAACGCTCGATCAGTTGAAAGAGTGACTAATGAGGCGAATGCGATAAATATTGCAGCCACTATAAAATAAAATGCGCATGTTAGTACAAAGTAACTTGAACGCGACAGAAAAATTTGTTTTTTATTGTAGTTCATATGTTGTGACCTTCAACGACCTTAATTTATAGGACATTATATTCATCTTGAAAGACTTTATCAGAATGTGAATAAAAGATTAGGTCATAAAGAACAAGTTTGATCTTCATATGCCTCCACCTATAAAAAAATTATTGACATCATATTATGTGCCCCTTGAAATCAAACAACCTTTTTCTGACAAACTCTATTGTCAAAAATAAGCGAGTTATTCGGGTGTCTCGTTTCAAATGTGCCCCACCCTGTATATATGTGTGCTGGTTAATTCCGAGCCCTGGTTTAATCTATTACGTCCCAAGTAATTAAATAATGCGACATTGGGTACGTTTATAATTATTTGAGACTTGCAAAAGGAAAGCGCATAAATGTTTGCTAGTCCTTACCTGGTAAAACGTGATTCAAGGATGATCCTGTTAAAATATTCAAAGATCCAAAGATGATCCTATTAACACGTTGAACGCCACGTTATCCATATCTGGGTGACGGCTATGTTTCCGCAGTCTTCGTCCAATTAAAGCTGAATTTTGGAGATGAACTTTAGTTAGTTATCGTAATCAGTAGACTGCGAATCTTTATATAGAACAAATATTGACTGCATTTGTTGCAAGAATCAGGATTCGCTCAAGATTTTTGTATTCAATAGATTTTTCTATTCAACAAATAGCTCGGAATTCCACAAACTCTACAAATTCAGTTTCAGCTTCATTAATTAAAGATTATATGTTACATTTAACATTGAGTTTATCATTTGGACATTAACAGTTTAATAATTTATCATTTGTACAATAACCATTTAACAATTTCTCATTTTTACATGAACAATTTAACAATTTCTTATCTTTACATTAACAAATTAACAATTTACCATTTGCACGTCTACAATTTAACAATTCATCGTTGCAAGGCAAAAAGATAATTTATTCAGGATGAAAGTTGCCGCTAAAAATCGGCATTTCTCACGTAAACAAACCAATTTCGGACAAACATTAACAACCGAACGGTAACATGACAATCTTCTGCTGTCACCAGCACACGGTGCATACCGTCGAACTATAAAGCCATTAAACGAGCACCGTTCTCGCAACGCGCTCCTATCGGAAGCTGATTTTTCGCCATAATATCTCGCTCGTTGATTGACTCGATATCGTCGTTTGGCGTTACTAATAACCGTGCATTCGAATGCAATCTCGAAGCTTTCAGTGCGGGGACAAGGATCGAGAGAGAGAGAGAGAGAGAGAGAGAGAGAGAGAGAGAGAGAGGGAGAGATCGAAAGAGGGATGGAAAAACGTGTGGAGGGGATGGTTGGAGAGGGGTGGTGACTGACGATAACCGGAAATCGAGTTTTCCGGACCGATGGCAGGAGGTTGACGCACGCTGGAGGGTAGTGGATGTCGAAAGGAAACCGATCGACGAAGGGCGAACGGAACGCGAAGGTCGGACATCATCGAATGAGGGGTCTGCGCGACCGTAGAGGGGGATTATCGAAGAAAGAGGCCGCATACAGGGTATTTAGTCTAACTCTCGTACGGCGCACAGTAACTATATTTTAAATTAAGCTTAAGATGTTCTAGAATAAGAGAAAATTATAAAGAATGTCGCAGGAATAATTTTCAACATCGAAAATTTAAGTTAAATTTGATATTTTTCGAGAAAATTTTAGTTTTGTGCAAAAACACTCAAAAACTGTCCAAACAATAATTTTTCGAAGTAAAGAATTTTGTTCATCTTAATTGCGCTATCGTTAAATAATAGCTCTAATTGTAAGGAACAATAAAAATTAGCTAAAGAAATTAATTTTGACTTTGCTAAATTATACCTTCGGTTCTGTTTTCCTTTGTTCAAATATTGTGAACTGTTATGATTATTTCTTCATATTGTGTGAAATCTTTGTACATTTTAATGTACAAAGTAATGTACCCCTTCCTTAACGCCTGCACACGCTACAAAAGAAGAACGCCCTCTCTCTCTCTCTCTCTCTCTCTCTCTCTCTCTCTCTGTCTCTCTTGTGCGTATGTGTTCGTGCGGCCAGCACTGCCTTGCTGCCTGCCAGTCCCGCCACCAGCTGGAGAAACGAATTGTCCGCGTTGCCCGGCGCGCAGAGGCCGGCTCCCGCTTTAATTAAAATTCTCCTATTAGCGGCACAATGGGAAACGAAGGTGGTTAATTTTCCGGGTAGACAGCCACCGGATACACGCGACGCTTAAGCGGCTGTCTTGCGAGCCCGCTAACTAGACGGATATCGGTTAACTAGCGTGGGAGGGCCACGGGAACCGCGCCGGCTGCCAATCGGAACCTGTTTCGCCGAGAATTTCTGTATTTTTTACTGGTTTTGCCGGTCGGTTTTACTGATGGTAATTGCAGTTCAAGGGCTGTTTGAAATTCATGCGACGGAGTTTAGGCCTTTGCGCCGCGGACTAGGGTGCTGGACGATAAGGGATGGACGGTTCGTACGGCACTGTGTCTTGCTTGTAATTAATCGTACAATTTTTAATGGACTTTCTGTGGCTCCAGCTTTCGTCGACAGTTTTAGAGATTATATTTAACCGGTGCTTCGCGGTGTTCAGCCAGATTCGTGGAGATTTCGAATAGAGCTTGGCGAATGTGTATGTACGTGGTAAAATTGAAATAAAATTTAATTTTTCTGTTGACGGTTCCTGGTCGTTAGTGTGGATTTCGAGTATTTATTTTATTATTTTATAAACGTCTAAACGACGAACGAATTCGGATTACCATCGAGAAAATTTACATCATTTTACAAAAGTTAAAATTAAGAAAAATTTCTTTCGTCGACTAAAAGATTGCTCGTTGTAAAAATAAAATAAAAATGCTGTTACATCTCGTTAATTTATACGTTCTCTTGTATTTAAAAAATATAGTCTAGTCATTAATATATGTTAATATGTCTTATATTTGACAAATGTGTAAGTACCATAAATCTATAACGATCTATAATCTAGCCATTAGACTAAATGTTGGTAAGCAGTGAATATCAATTTTCTTCGTCTTCTAGGAAATTATTAACAATAATTTTCTAATCAGCAAACTTATAATAATTTCACTGTATTCGTTACAAATCATTTGTAGACGAACATCATTTCATGATGTGGTATATTTTAATATATAGTTAAAATAATATACAGTCAAAGATTGGATCAGAATCTACTTCTTAAATCTTTTTTGTGTGTGTGTGAATTAGGACTTCTTAAAAATATTAAAAACATCTTTCTCAGAGAACTGGATCATACGTCAAAGAGAATAAGAGCCAAATAGTAAGAAGAGAGGAAAACTGTGTACTTATATTTTATTGTTACTTAGATTGAATAAAGATTAATTGTTTGCAATCTCAAGAGTTTCATACATGAGTTCTATGTCTTCAAAATGTGACATCAATCTTAAAAGGATTGATCCATTACAACAGGATTTGTATTCTTCCACTTCTAGTAAAACTATTAATATCTCACGTCTTACATTTTATAATTGTTGTATAAATTGGAAATATCTCAGAGTAGCATTAGAATTCACCAAAATTTTCCAAAAAAGAATTCACCAGATATTCGAATATTTCAATGAATTTCATTCCTTGGCAGCTGAGAACTTCTCCGAACTTGTCCAACACGGATTAACTTCAGCCCGATGATTGGTTCGAAATAGAATCTCTGAAATGAATTTTAATGAAAATTGATTTAATTGTGTGTGTGTGTGTGTGTGTTTCTATCCATTCAATTATATATTTCAACAAACGGCGTCCTTATTTACTTACATACGGTAATACTCGCAACAACATAGGCTACATTAAATTCAAATACTCTGTGGAAGGAGTAGAATTTGTGACCACCGTACCAAAAATGTAAATGACGTACAACTAAAACTATAAATCAAACTTATATATATATATATATGCAAAGGAACGGCTTTCAATATTATAAACTTTTTCAGATTCAAAAGTTTGTTCTATATTTAGGGTATAAACAAGTGCTTTTGACACGAGAGATCGAATGTCGTGTGCTTTTGACAATCGAATGGAAACGAGTTGAAAAATTAATTCAAAGCTAAAAATTATGCATACAGTTAAAAACAATAGTACAACACAGTTAACACTTTACTTACGAATGAAGCCGACTGATGTCAAATTGAATACTTTCATGTTTTATTACAATATTGTTTGTTCTTCTCATCTTATACGAGTAAAAAATCGAGGTTGTAACCTTGTTTATAAGATATTCATATTGTAAAATGAATTTTATATATTTTATTTCTCATATTTTATTTTACTCCGATGAGGAACATTTTTAGTATCGATAAAACCAAATATCTACTCCTGTTATAATCAAGCTTTTCACGTTGCTTGTTGAAAATACTCTTTCAACTAAAATTTTTTCTTTAAGAAGAACTTTCTCGAAAAGCATGTTTTAAAAAAATACCATGGTCCAGGTTTTAAATAGAACCTGTTAAAATATTACAAAACTTGTTCCATCCCTGCTTGTAATTTACAACAATTATTAA